TGGAGCCATGAGGACTTGTTTCTCACAGATTTCCACACCTGCTTATGAGACAACCCCACCCCCATAAGGAGAAAGGTGGTCATGAAAAGTAGGGCCCCCACCTGTCACCAAATGGCAAACTCTGATCATTGTCCTGCTCCCCTGCAGGCTGTGTGCCTCCCTGATCAGCCTCCGAGTTCAGGACACAGGCTCCAAGACAATTCAGTGTGGAGTTTCATTCTGACCCCAGATGAATGCATTTCTGATGTTTGTTCTGAAAGACTTCCTCATGAGGAAGAAAGAAAGAAAGAAGGGCTCCTCCCTTCTTTCTTTTATCTTCCCCATACAGCACTGGATCCCTGTTTCACAGTGTGAGCTTAACAGGGCACATGTTAGTGATAGCAGTTAAATTATTCTAATGAATAACTACAAAATTTTTGTAGCTTAAAACAATAAAAATTTGGGTTTTGCCCAAGTCAGAATCTAATATAGGTCAGAATTGAAAATAAGCCATATAACTTGCTTCCACTAGGCACCAACTCCTAAAGATTTCACTTCCAATAGTGTCACAGATTGGTGATAAGTTTTTAACATATGAGCCTTTCGGGGACACTTTAATGACAGCATGAGTCTAAAGTGTGTTCATTTTTTAAAGAGCAGGTGAGGGGATAGGTTGGTGAATCTATGTCCATCCAAACAGATTAAGTAAGATTTTCAGACCAATCCCAGCCCACCTCCAAGTGAAGCAGAAGAATCTTTTATTCCTGTGGGGTATTCCTAGTCTTCGCTGAGATCCCCTTAAGAATTATTCAGGGCAAATATCTGGATTTTAATTCCAGAAGCAAGATGTCTTTTCAATTGTGATGTTACAGATATGGAAGAGAGAGTTCAGGACTCGCAGAAGTAAAAATGTGCATGGCCAAGACTTGGAATGGTGCACTTCACTGTGACCCCAGTCCACTAGCTAGAATTAAATCACATGATCCCCAACCACCTGCAAGAGTGTTGGGAAATGAAAATTGCCATGGGTGTCCTCCTTTTATCAGGTTTTCCTATACACACAAGCTGTTGTCCGGCTTCTGTCACTTTATAAATATGGTTTCAACATAATATTTTGCTTCCTTTGAAGGAATATTAAAACAATTTAATATCACATAGTAATTCATTTTCTCAAACTCCTAGAGAAAGAGAACTATGCTATCATAGGATAGTTAGTGGCTACAGGCCATCAGGATAGTATTCTGGGTCTCAGAATTTACTCCAAACTTGGTAGCTCTTTTTTGCTACAAACATCCTCACTTTACTGTTGACCACTCTTGGAAATCTAGATATTTGCCCTAAATATCCTCCAGGGGATTTCAGAGAAGACTAGGAATTCCCCACAGGAACCTTGAAAAGACTCTTGTGCTTCCTTAACTT